CATCACCAAGAGTGTCTCAGCTCGGGAACTTAGTTATGAGAGGGGAATGTCATGAATTGAGCACCCCACTCGCCCGATCAAAGATCGGCCTCTACTAATCACGATGTGATTCTTATTTACTTTATGTTCTCTTGTTCCAGTTATTAGTCTAACATTACTATGTGTTGCACACAAGTATAGACTAATTTTCAAAAATTAGAATGCTTTGATTTCATGTTTGTTTTTGAAAATTATTTGAAAATGCACCACTTGAAAAAGTGATCGCATATGTAGATTACTCAATTTATTCCAATTCACGCAATTAGCCTTCATCCACAGGCATTTAAGCAGGTATAGAACTTAAGCAATTAGCCTCATGGCAAGCATACTAGACATGGCGACAATCACACACACGCGATATGCTAAAGCAAATAAAAGCTTATCTAGTACTCCAAGGCAAGCCAAACAAAACAAAATAATTAGAAAAATATATGTTCCTAACTAATGCTACATGACTAATGCAACACATGCGATATGCAACTAATAAGCTCGGCTACTAGTTATGACATTTGAAACAACTTGATAGCATACAGTTTCAATACGTATTCAACGAAGTCTGTAAACTACAATGCTTGTTAGAATGATGAACTGAGCCTTAATGCATATATGACAAGTGGATGCAAATATGGGAAATGCTAAAGGAAACATAATGTTCTAAGCTACTTATCATAAGCAAGTAAATAAAAAGGAGAAAGACGTGGGGTTAGAAGACATACACATTATTACAATCAGGTCCTAGCACAAGAGGGTCCGAAGAAATGCCCTAGCTAATTACTACGAATTAACTAATCTATTACAACCCAAATGAAATAAATTAACTATATTAGCTAATTATTACAACACCACAAATTAACTAACTACTTTAGCTAATTAAATAAGTACAACACAGTGGGTGAAGTAGGTGGAGAGTAGGTGGTGGGTTAGGTTTAGTGGAGTAGGTTTAAGTGGGTGAAGTAGGTGGAGAGTAGGTGGTGGGTTAGGTTTAGTGGAGTAGGTTTAAGTGGGTGAAGTAGGTGGAGAGTAGGTGGTGGGTTAGGTTTAGTGGAGTAGGTTTAAGTGGGTGAAGTAGGTGGAGAGTAGGTGGTGGGTTAGGTTTAGTGGAGTAGGTGATGTGGTAGTGGTGTAGTGGGTTAGGTTTAGTGGAGTAGGTTTAAGTGGGTGAAATAGGTGGAGAGTAGGTGGATTTTAACATAAACTCATTTGCAACCAATCAGATTCTTACCAACAGGCAAAAGAACCAACTCCCAAGTAGGGGTGTGCGCGGTGCGGGTTGGTGCGGTTTGAGAGAAAAATAGAAATCGTATAGCGGGTGGCGGATTGATAAAAGTGTCACTAGAATTTGTCATTTTCCTTATCAAAAACCGGCGGTTCGGTTGGTAAATAATGGCGGATTTGCCTTGGCGGTTTTGGCGGATTGGCGGTTTATAAAAAATATAATTCAAATTACAAAACTTAAATCAAAGAGTAAAAAAAAGACGAGAGATACCGTGATGTTAAGCATCTTGCGAAGTTGGTTGCACGACTGTAGCCTTGGCTTGTGGCTACTATTCCTGAAGCTAAGTGCTAGATTCTGGCTTAGAAGGTATAGAACAACAAGCAAACTTAAGTAAAAAAGAATTTTTAGAATCTTATAAAACATGATTTAATAGCAGTGCGGGTCGGTGCGGTTTGGAAGAAAAATAAAAACCGACGGATTGATAAAAGTGTCACTAGAATTTGCCATTTTTCTTACCAAAAATCGGCGGTTCGATTGACAAATAATAACGAATTTGCCTTGGCGGTGCGGTTCGGTGCGGTTTTGGCGGTTTCGGCGGTATTATGCACACCCCTACTCCCAAGTACTAGTTTTTTGTAAAGCAGACAACTTATTCTCTATAGCTTGAACCCAATGAGGATCCTGACAGGCCTCCTTGTAAGACTGAGGTTTTGAAAAAGAGTGAATAGCAGACAAAAAAGTACAATAGGAAGCTGAAAAACATGTATTAGACTAACCCAACCTGTTTGGAGAATGACGCGCTCGAGTAGGATATCGGTGTGCAGTAGGATCAGAGTCGTTAGAAGCAGGAGGATCAGCAGTAGGGCCAGAGACAACCGATGAAGGAGGAGCCTTGCGACGAGAATAAACTAACAACGGAGGAGGAGAAAAAACCGAAGGAGAAGCGGCCATGTGAGAATATATTGTATATATGGCATGATTGTGTATATATGGCATATTAGGAATTAGTCAAGATTGTGGTGTAAATAGGAATCTTTGTATTTCCTTTTTCAACCATAGATTTAGGGCTATATAAACTGATGAACTCTTTGTAAACAAACACAATTGAATATACAGTTTCATTCAGAAAACTTATATGGTATCAGAGCCATTCTCTGATTCGAAACCCTAGAGCTGTCTCCATTGCGCTCTTGTTCGTGTTCGTGCTTTCTTCTCTCAGGCTTATTCTGGTTCGACTTTGGTGTGTAACCCATCACTCATTTGTTCGTGACCCATCTGCTCGTGATTATGCATCGTCTCAGTCGACCCATCTGGATTTCCTCTCTGTTCATGTTATTTGGTAGTCGCACCAATCCAGTGGTTCGACCCATCTAGTCGTCGACTCCTCACAACTCGTCTTCTCTCTCTGGCTCTTCTTCGTGGTCGACCCATCTAGTTTCTAGCTCGTGAACATCAGCATAGCGACTCTTCCTCTTTGCCTCTGGTTCGTGATTGTGTTCGCATTCATATGTCTTCGACTTTGACTTAAAATTCTGGTTCTCCTTTAGACTCTCTCTGGTTCTCGATTTGTTTGTTTGTCTCAGACTCTTTGGTTTGTCTCTTTTAGACTGTCTCTAGTCCTCTATTTGTTCTGTGATACAATATTACTGTTCTCAGACTTTGCTTGGGTATTATACTTAACACCCTAGGTTCAGGCTTATTACACTACAACCCCCAAGGTTTTCTATTTATTATATTTTGTTCCATTAGCTCTTTTCTTTTTTTGATTCCTTATAATGTTGGATGATAAGATTGCTAGGCCCGAAATAGGTCACTAGCGTCAGATGAGTGTGTCTTCTGCCATTAGAGAGGTCACTGAAAGTATTACTGTCCCAAGAAGGGATGTTTGTCTGTCTCATCTTTTTCAGCAATCTCAGGATCAGTTTTGTGCTCATTCTTAGAGTACTTTTCAGACTCTCGGTAGTTCTATCGCATCTACTCCGACCCCTGATCCTGACTTGGCTTCCCTAAGTGCTCAGATTAGTCAGTTTCAGCATACCCCGTTTGCCTTCATTGTTTCCTCTCTTCATTCAAGTTTGCTTGGGTCTTCTTCAGGTATCTCTTCGTTTGTCTAGATTTTTGACTCTAGTACTTCTCACCATATGACTCCCCATCCCTTCTTTCTTCAAAATTGTGCTCCCTCTCCCTTTCCTATTACTGTTAATGCTGTTAATGAGTCTAGTATTTTTGTTATATCTGTTGGGCCTGTCTTACCGTCTGCTATGTCTATTGTCTCTATTCCATCTGTCCTTTATGTTTCTCAGTTATCTTATCTGTCAGTTTATTATCTATCAGTCAGCTCTGATACCAAGTAAGAGCATCTCCAATGGAGCTGTCAAACAACCTGCCAAAGCTATAATTTAGCAAGAGTGACAAAAAGAAGGTCTCCAATAGCCTGCTATTCTACTTGCCAAAGATAGTAGATGCCATTTTTGTTCTCAAATTTGGTAAGTTGAATAGCAGCTGCCAAACATGCCACATCAGCAAATATCAATAGATTTTTGGCTCCAAATTTAGTTGAAAAAAACAGAATTCAAATAGTAAAAAACCTTCCAAATTTCATAATCAAACCCAAATTTCATAATCAAACACAAATTTCAAAGGAGTTGCCAAATTCACAAATTTCATAATAAATTTCACAATAAAAATCACAATTTCAGAATAAATCTATAAATTTTAGAATCAATTTCAGAATAAGTTTCACGATTTTAGAATAAATTTGAGAATTTCAGAATCACACAAATTCCAGATCAATTTTAAAATCACACAAACAAAGCATACATATTTCAATTTCAGAATCAATTTCACAAATTTATATAAATTTCATAAATGAATTTTGATAATAAATACCTGGATCTACCTCGAGGGCTTCTTCTTCAGCCGATTGTTTTGAGGATAGAGAGAGAGAGAGAAGACTAGTTTTGGAGATCGGAAAGTTGGAGCTCGGTGATCGGTTTAAGGACAGAGAGAGAGAAGACACCATGTCAGCCGACTAGTTTGAGGATAGAGAGAGAGAGAGAGAGAGAGAGAGAGAGATTGGAGAGTATATTGGTTTGAGGACAGAGAGAGAGAAAGAGAGAGAGAGAGATAGACAGATCGGAGAGGTTTGACGATAGAGAAAGAGAGAGACAGATCGGAGAGTATACTGCTGTTGAGCTCAAACACAGAGACACCGAGAGAGAGACATGGGGTATAATGGAGGAAGAAAAGGAATGGGTTGGATGATGGAGACGTTTTGATGATGAAGACAGAGACACAGAGAGAGAGGGAGAGTGAAGACAAAGACACATAACAAGAGAGAGAGAGAGAGAGGTGTTTCGATGATGGATGAGGAAAAGGGAAGAGGAGAGTGAGAGGGAGAGTGAAGACAGTGAATGAATGTCTTGGAATAGGGTAGATGATTCCAGAGAAATCATCTCAATCGTTGGTTTAGGGTACAATGACGATGGTGATATGTCTTGGAATAATATAAATATTTGTCTATTTTTCAATTTTTTTTTTCATTTTTTATATCTGTCTAGTTGGGAATAATATAAATATATAATTTTTTTTAGAAACAGTTAAAAAAAGGTCACAAAAGACAAAAACTAAACCAAAAAAAAAAAACTAAAAAACCTATATCCAAAAAACACCTACAAACTTGGAGGAAAAGTTGGTTGAAATTTTCAAAATAGCAAGTGACCATTGGAGTACCATTACTATAATTTGGCAAAATAGCACTATTCATTGCCAAATTATAACAATGACAATGCTATTTTAGCAAACACCATTGGAGATGCTCTAAGTTTTCTGAATGAAAGTGTATATTTAATTGTGTTTGCTTATAAAGAGTTCATTAGTTTATATAACCCTAAATCTATGACTGAAAAAAGGAAGTACAAAGATTCCTATTTACACCACAAGCTTGCCTAATTCCTAATATGCCATATATACACAATCATGCCATATATACAATATATTCTCACATATGTGACCTGCTAAGAACTGAGAATGTAAAATTGCTTGTGGTATTAAGGCTGGAATTTCATAGGTAACTTTAATTTCCAGTATAATGGATCTCTGTACCATTCTCCTAAAATTGAACTATTGGGCACCACCTATGCATTTTTGTTTTTATTGAGAGTTAACTTTTATTGTCTTTCTCTTTTTTTCCCTTTTCCTGTGGCAAATTGCAGGTTCTAATAGTGAATTCTTTGTGCAGGATCTTGTCATACATAGGAATGGAATGGAACATGTAAGCTTAAAAATTTAGGTAGTGTTTGGTTCACTAGAATGATGGTGAATTGGAATGGAATGGTCATTCCTTATCATCCTTACGGAATTATCATTCTCTTATAATGATGAATAATGATTCTATAAACAATGCATTTTTCATAATTTTTGTAGTGAACCAAATGTAAGAATGAACATTCCGATAGATGATCATTCTATACCAACTCATTCCAATGAATCAAATATAGCACTAGTTCTTTCTTATTAGCATTTCATGACAGACATGTAAGTGCCCTGTGCAATGGATGTTTGCAGGTTGTTGGAGAGTTGAAGACGGGAGATGTTTGTGGTGAGATAGGCGTCCTTTGTTACAGGCCACAATTATTTACTGTTCGTACAAAACGATTGAGTCAGCTGCTACGGTTGAATCGTACTACACTTTTAAACATAGTTAAGGCAAATGTTGGAGATGGAACAATAATCATGAACAATCTTCTTCAGGTCTGCAAATTGACATTTCAATTAGATTTTACATGTATCGTTAACTGATGCTCAACTTATATTCTTATAAAATCTTCTCCTAATGAATTGTTAACTGATGCTCCACTTTTAATGAAAATTGCAAATTCTTATATGCTGCTTTAGGTGGATGACTAATTATAATATTTTTTTATGAACTATTGGTGGATGATGCAGCACTTGAAAGAGCGGAGGGACCCTCTGATGGAAGCAGTTTTGTTAGATACAGAGCACATGCTGGCTCAGGGAAGAATGGATTTGCCTCTCAGTTTATGTTTTGCAGCGATGAGAGGAGATGATCTATTGTTGCATCAGTTGCTGAGACGGGGTATGGATCCAAATGAATTGGAAAGCAATGGCCGAACAGCTCTGGTGTGAGCAGTTTCCTCTCTATCTCCATTCTACGTGTGTGTATCGTGCTCAAAATAACTGTGAATTTGGTGGCTGAGTTTATATGTGTTTTTGTATGATACAGCATATTGCAGCATCAAAAGGAAGTGTAGAATGTGTGCTTCTACTTCTGGATTATGGAGCAGATCCCAACAGAAAAGGTATTTTTTACGCTATTGGGAATCCGTAATACTTAATTTGGATCTGTGAAACATGAAGCACAGAAACAAACAAACGCACAAAAAAGATAAATCACACGCACACACACTAAGAACACAAGGTTTACGTGGTTCCCCCCAAACTAGGGCTATGTCTCCGGTTGTTGCGATTTTCACTATGATCAGAAAAATTACAAGAAATTAGGGCAACATGCCACAAATGCAGAATACCATAAATACCCTTTACTCTAAAATTTGGGTGGTTAGTATCCAGTAATTATCAGGATCCATACTACCCAAACGCAGTCCATGATCAAATTCTAATTCATTGATTGGTTTACGATTTATGTTGCTTCTCCTTTTTTACTCCTATTAATATCATATTCCTCAGTTTTCATAATTTTGGCTAGCTTAACTCTCTTATTATGGACTTTTTACATTTGCAATTTCATTTTATCAGTAACCTTGTACTGGATGAGATCGATCTCCTTCATGCAGCTAGTACTAAGCACTTGTCATTAAATGATAATAGCTTGTAACTATTGCTGTATTGTTTGTTTGTGCAGATTCTGAAGGAAATGTTCCGCTATGGGATGCAATTTTGGGGAGGCATGAATCCGTGATAAAACTACTTGTAGACAATGGCGCAGAACTATCTGCAGGCGATGTTGGTCAGTTTGCTTGCTATGCTGTTGAGCAAAACAGCATAGACTTGCTCAAGGACATCATCCGCTTTGGCGGGGATGTTGCATTGCTTAATAGCCTTGGGACTACCGCACTTCACACCGCTATTTCTGAAGAGAACACCGAAATAGTGAAGTTCCTAGTAGATCAAGGAGCTGACATTGACAAGCCAGATGTGCACGGTTGGACCCCGAGGGCTTTGGCAGATTATCAGGGACACGGAGAGATAAAATCTATGTTCCAAACCATGAAAGAGAATAGAAACCAACCTGCTACGGTGGTTCCCGAGACACAGGGCGTGCCCTATCTTAAGAAGTACCAGAGCGAGCCCACAATGCCTATTTTAACACCTGAAGTCGCACCAACAGATGTTACAGAAGATAACTGGTCCGATGACCATCGCAGACGGAGGGATGACCATCGCAGACGGAGGGCCAACGTTTTTAACAATTCGCTGTTTGGGATCATGTCAGCTGCCAATAGGCCCAGGAGAGGTATCCATCATGGTTATAAATTCATTAATTTTGAGAATATTCAAAACCTAATTCGCTTTTAGAACAAATTTACTAGTTGAGGACTGGGAAATGAATTTTTTTCCAAGCAAAGAAGCATGGACATGGAAACAAACACGAACACGAACAGAAAGAAATTTAAGTATTTGTTGCTAATTGCAAAAAAATAAAAATAAATAAATAAAAAACAATAATAATTATAATAATAAAATGAAGCATTTATCATAAAAACATTTTGAGATCATTCAAGTTTCTATGGAAATGTCTCATTAATCTTAAGAATTATTTATTTTATAATAATGCTTCCTTGTATACGTTAATTAAATTTTGAGGCATAAGAATTTAATTGTTATGCCCAATTATTTGCAGGTGATAGGGGTCTTTTACCATCTCCATCCAATATTGAACAAAATTCAGGCAATAACCGCCCAAGAGTCACAATTAGTTGCCCGAGAAAAGGAGAAGTTGCAGGGAGGCTCACATTTTTGCCCGATACTCTTCAAGAGCTACTTGATATTGGTGCTCAGAAATTTGGGATCACTCCTACTAAAGTTTTAATGAAAGATGGAGCATTAATTGAAGACATAGCGGTCATTAGAGATGGTGATCATCTCATTCTCACCGGCGATGGGGGAGCTGAGATTTCAGGGAGTTAAGAGGTTACCTCCTATATTCATCCCTTAAGTGTACATTTTTTTTTCCCTAGTGGCACACGATCCCACTTCGGAATTTTGAATTTGAGAGGGAAAAAAAATGACTACTTGTGTTTGTTTTTTGTACTTGTAGTTTTCATTGGATGTCTGAAGGGGAAGGGTGGTGGATATAGAAAATGCAAAATTATAGGTTATATATATGACATTGGCATCCAATAGGTTATTATTTGTATGGAGGGGCTTGGGTGTATTATTTCAATTCTTTGAAGGTAATTTAATCCGTCATTATAATGTTTATTTGAATGGTACCTTTGTTCTTTCTTTCCATTCTACTGTTAGACAATGCCTGGTAATCCTCACTGAACATGCAGCTCTGGAAAAATTGAAAATTTTGTTTTGAATATCTCAAATAATTTGCCATTAATCAAATGATTGAAATCAATTATGGTTGTTTGTGTGCTTGTGTGTAAATAATGTCAAAATGTTAAGTTGGTATCCCACAAAACTAGTTATAAGTTGTTCAGTGGTGGTGGCTCTAATAATCTGTTACTAATACTATAGGATTTTTTTGAGACACCTCTTAATTTGTATCTCTTAAATTATAATTTAAATAGAAAGTGGGATCCATGCTAAGGGGGGCACGAAGGTTTATGGTTTAGCTTAGCTCGCTTTGCTTTAGCTTATAGACTGAGTGGGCCGGCCCGAGCTCAAATCAGGCTTGGGTAGGATTTGATGCCTAGCAAAAACCTGTCTCATTGACCCGTAAAAGGTAGCCCACCGTTTGATCCTAGAGTTTGTCAGAAAATTAAAAATTAAAAATTAAAGAAATGATAAATTCCCCCAAAAAAACTCCAAATCTTGATTATTTTGGTTAAGCCAGTGGACTAATTTGCAAGCCCATTTAAACCAAGTTTGTTGGGTAGGACTTGAGCCTAAAATTTTGACTTGACATTAAAAAACAGTGGTTTTGGACTCAGCTTTCATTGTTCAACTTGGCCTTATGCTGACTCTTAAACCATGCAATGTGCGGATATAAATCCAAACAGAAAAGCTTGGGACCCCCACTAGGGAGACCCCTAGCACCCCTAGTGGGTGTTGATTGGTCATAATTTTTTTTTTCTTTTCCTTTTAATCACTAACCTCCATGTGTGTGTGTGTGTGGGGGTTAGTGAGGGTGGGTTTGACTGAGGGCCTGCAGCATAGCTCAAATCCAAATTGTATAATTAAGTAGAAGTTGCAACAAATCTTGAAAACAGGAGCCCCCTTAACATTGTGCTTAAGAACATTATGGTTATGGTTGTTTGGGCCGACTAGATTAGGTTGGATTAGTATTTTCATAACTAATAGTTCTAGGATTACGAATCCCTTTGGATTGTGTATTTTATCTTATGTTTGGATTAAGTTAGGATTACAAGGAGGGACTAATAGTTAGTTTGGGAAGATTGAAAAAAGACAAAAAGTCAAAAAGTCACTATCCTATTTAAGTCACATCATCTTATTTAAGTCACATCACCTCTCTAACACATCACTTCAAACCCAACCCAAACCCAATCCATATTTCATAAAAAGTCAAAAAGTGCACTTATTTAG